AAAAAAAAAAAAAAAAAAAAAGCTACACAATAAGACTATGCAGAATGAAAACTAAGCTGAAAAGGAGCAGTTCTTCAAATGGAAAGGAGTGTAAGAGGCAAGCAACAGGGTTAAGTAGGACAAAGACGGGGTGGGGAGGTGCTGGGGGGATAGGACCCAAACACAAGATGACCAAACATCTTGTTAACCTTTGCTGTCCAGGCAGACCTAAGAATTTTTTGTTTTGTTTTCAAGAATATCCCAATTTGGATGACAAATTACATGGTTACTCTAATTAGATACCAAGTGAAGGAGGATATTCAGCTCACGAGCAGAGTTAAAGTAAAGCTAGTCTAAGAACTGACAAGAATAATTAATCCTTCTAAAGGCAAAGGCTTTCTCCCACATAGGTAAGTGAAAAGCTGACCTTAATAAATACTACAGAAACAGGACTGTGGCGTCATGGAATGTCAGTCAATCTGCATACAAATCTCAGCCTCTCAAACATTTTTCCCTCTAAATTTCAACTGTCTGTCCCCTCATACAAAATTTAACACTGACATACTTAAAGCATAGATACAAGGACTAAATGAGTCACTTTCATGTAATATGCTTAGTCACTCCAAAGAGGAATGACCACCACCACCAAATCTAAGATATACATCAATAAAGCAAACTGGTAACTAGTGAGCTGCAGCAACAGAACCTCTAGCAGCTGTAACCTCTTCTGTACTTCCTTTGCTCAGCACCTGACTTGGACTCTCTGGTCTGTTTTGAGCTAGGTAAATGTGTTTGTGATGGGAACCACCAAGACTTTTGCAATTTTTTTTGTGGTCTTTCAAGAGGAGTTTGAAGGTACCTCCGAGCAAATTGGTTGGATTGGATCCATCATGTCATCACTTCGTTTTTCTGCAGGTATAAAGTTGGTAATAAATTTGCTGCTCATGGCAAATGCCCACAGAGGACACTGCTAAAATTCAAGTTCATTTATGAATATGCACTAATATATTAACGCCAAGAAAGTAAGGAATTGCAATGCTTACCTTCTATTTGACTTGGCATCTAAATTGGAAAAAAATCAGCATGCTAAGAAGTTGAAGTATTCAGCTATTTAATTCCATGACTCATGGCTGGGGATTTAGCTCAGCGGTTCTGGTGCCTGCCTTGCAAACGCCAAGGTCCCGAGTTCGATCCCCAGTACCAAAAAAATAATTCCATGATTTAAATTTTCATACCTTTTTTGTTTTTGAGACTGTCTCACTATGTAACTCAGTCTGTTTCACAGTGATCCTTGCTCAGCCTCCCCTGGGATTACAGGCCTGTACCACCCTCACCTGTTTTTGTTTTGTTTTGTTTTAGGTAGGGTCTCACAATGTACCACACCAGGCCCAGCTCATAAGTTTCCTACTGGTCTGATGATGCCTTAGTACAAGGCCAATGAGCCAGGCCATCTATCTGGAAGTCAGACCATTAAGTTCTAATCATCTAATCACACTCAAAACAAAACAGAACCAATTTTTTTTCTAGTTTTAGTTGACACTGTAATACAGTAGCAGTTAATGATCTGACTTCGTACTAGTCAAAGGCCACTAGTACAGCCTCATTTTTTAGACATCCTGTAATTATTTTCAATAAAATTTCCCTCCAAACCATCTTAACTCCCTAAAAAGCAAAATACTGTGGGTCTAGTAATATTAAGAAACTCAGTAAAAACGTGTTTTTGAAGGACATACAATACTCCATAGTAAAGTCCTCTGATTTTCCTGCAATCATTTCTTCTTCAAATCATACATTAGAGGTGAAAGGATGCTAGAGGAATCTACTTTGTAGTTGCCTTTCTTTCTTTTCCCTAAGGTCCTCTGGCGGCTACTATTTGCGAACTGATTGGAGAGAAAGCTACCTCCATTCTCGGGACATTGCTTGTTGCTGGTGGCTATGTGATCAGCAGCTGGGCCACAAGTATTCCCTTTCTTTGTGTGACTATGGGACTTTTACCTGGTGAGTACACTGTAAATAGATGACTATAAAAGATGGAACAGGAACTTTCCCTTCAACTGCCTATGGGTCCAAAAGGCCCAGCTGTATTATCTCAAATCCAGAATATTTCATCTACTGCCAAACCATCTAATGTTAAAAATAATGCCAAACTACTATTTTTCTTTTAGGTTTGGGTTCTGCATTTTTGTACCAAGTAGCTGCTGTGGTAACTACCAAATACTTCAACAAACGATTGGCTCTCGCTACTGCTATTGCCCGTTCTGGGATGGGACTGACATTTCTATTGGCCCCCTTTACAAAATTCCTGATAGATCTTTATGACTGGACAGGTGAGTCAACTTGAGTTTCTAAATTATTGGCTCTTCAAGATATAACGTTCAGCTTTATCCCTCTGACGACTAGAAATGAAGAATTTAAAAGAAAACCATTTCAAAAGGTATTGCCATGGCAGGATAACAAAAAAAAACTTTTAAAATATTGCCAGAGAGGAAATGAGCATGCTATCTAAAGTAAGCTTGCTCCTTTTCCTTGGAGAATACACCACAAGAGATCCTGAAGGACACACAGGATTTGCCAGCTAACACAAGGAACTCATATTCATCAGAGTAGTGTCTAAGGAGATGGAGGCCACTCTGCGTGTATGTGAACATCCTTGCTGTGACAGTGATAACCCCCAGGAGAAACAAGCCTCCCACCACCAAAAATTCACTTTTAGTATTTTTTTGTTTTGTTTTGAGGTAGTCTCACTCTATAGTCCCAGCTGGCTCTGAGCTTACTAAGTAGCCCAGGATGGCCTGGAACATACAGGGATCCTCCTATCTCAGCCTCCCTAAAGCATGGATTAATACACCAACACTCCTGGCTCACTTTACATATTTTAAGAAAGTTATATGCATTTTAAAAAAATTCCTCCTCTACTAGAAAAAAAATAGATGAACCAAAAAAAGAAATTTAGGTTTAAAAAAAAAAAAAAAAAAA